GTGTGTGTGTGTGTGTGTGTGTGTGTGTCTGTGCGAATGAGTGCGGGGGGGAAGCGCGGCCAACTTTGGTGTGCTCGGCCAAATCGAGGCCGAGGGTCGTACAGACCGGCTACCCATTCGCTCGGCCATTAAGGACGCCGACCCGCGTCCGCACGATTTTTCGCCGAACCCCTTCGCCGGTCAAGTCGGTCAGCCTTCCACACGACACAAAGTGCAAAGGCCCAGGCCATGCCTTCTGCTGCTGCCTTTGTTGTTGCTGTGGAGAGAATGTCGTGCCTCCCCGGGGTGGCTGCTCCGGGCTAGCGCTCCGATGTGGTTTCGCGGCAGGAGTGTGGATGGTCGCCGGGCTCCGTTATAAGTGACTGCGAAATGCTTGGATTGGAGCTGCCCTCCTTCTCATCCCAAACCAAAACCCAAACGACGTTGAACAATGGCAGGATCGTCTCACGAAGTACAGCCGTCTTCGGCTAAAGAGAGCAAGGTCAAGGGGCCGATTGTGCTGCCCTCGCACCAGCTGCCGGAGCGATTCTACAAGGGAGGACCGCGCATCTCGACGTTCCGTGGCGAGGCGTCCAAGAGCAATCGCGAGCCGGAAGATTGGGTGGCCTCGACGACGTGCTGTGCTGGTCACGACACGCTGGGCCTGACGCGCCTTCCGACCACCGACACGCTTCTCGTCGACGAGATCCGCAACGACACAGCTGCGTGGCTGGGTGCAGAGCATGTGGCCAAGTATGGAGCGGACACCAAGCTGTTGATCAAGCTGCTGGATGCGGGGCAGCGACTGCCCATCCATGCGCATCCTCACGTCGACTGGGCACGCGCGCACGTGAAGCGCAACCACGGCAAGGCAGAGGCGTGGCACATCCTCGCACCAGGCCGTGTCTACCTCGGCCTCAAGCAGACGGTTTCGGCAGAGCGCATGCTGGAGCTGGTGGACCACCAGGAGATCGAAACGATGCTCGCAATGATGTACGAGGTGGACGTCGAGGCGGGTGATACCGTGTATGTTCCGCCCGGTCTGCTGCACGCCATCGGAGAGGGCATCCTGCTGGTCGAGGTGCAGGAACCGGAAGACATGTCCATCCTGCTCGAGTGGCGCGATTTTGAGCTGGATGGACAGGCGGATGGACACCTCGGCCTCGGATTCGAAAAGGCCATGACGGCCGTCACTGTGGATGGCCTCTCGCAAGAGCAGGTGTCGCAGCTGGTGGTGCGATCCAAGGACCGATCCTCGACCAACCTGCTGCCCACAGAGGCACTCGAGTACTTCCGCATGGACAAGATCGACAGCAACGCTACGGTCGAGCCTAGCTTCCAGCTCGCCGTCGTCCTTCAAGGGCAAGTCGAGGCTAGGGTCCCAGGCAGCTCACCTACTGTCCTTCGTGCGGGAACCACTACGCTCTTCCGACACGCCGATGGTCCCGTCAGCTTCACGATGGCTAGCGACGTCCAGTCGTCGCTTGTTCTGATCCGTCCTCCGCAATAGATTTCGTTCTCCGTCAGATGTGCTTTCTTTTTGCACGTGGATGAGCTTCGGTGCGGACCTAAGTCACGACGGCGTGCGGAAGCGGCAAGGCTGCGGATGCGGGAGTCATTGATGGGCCATGACGAGCGGAGACAAAGGAGCAGTGTGTTAGAGCGGCTCTAACACCATCCCAAACAATTCGCCGTCCACCGGCTAAAACCGCATGTTTTGATTGCCGAAGCGGACCGGGGGTGATGGTGGGGTCGGGTCGTACAAGCGCACGGCCTCTGCGACCCGGCCACTATCTCGGTATCGACAAGGCCATTCTGCTCTACACCAAAGCAGTCGTAACAATGCCAGCTCGAGAGGAGGACCTGCTCATCCCGTCGGTGCAGCCAGGCATCAAGATCGTCGGCATCCTGCAGCGCAAGAGCATCGAGGCGTCCACCTCGTCGCAACGCCAGCCCATCGCGCTCATCCTGCACGGCCTGCTGGCGCACAAGAACCAGTGCTACCATCGTGCGCTCGCCGATGCGCTGCCCATCGACTCGCTGCGCTTCGACTTTCGCGGAAACGGCGACTCGCACGGCGACTGGACGCTGGGCAGCCTCGACAACGATGTGACCGACCTGGCGACGGTGGTGCGCCACCTGCACCATCGGCTGGGCTACAAGATCGAGCTGATCGTGGCGCACTCGCGCGGATCCATGGTCTCGTGGATGTACCTCTCGCGTGGGCCAGAGGTGCTTCGTGCAGATATGGGCAGCGCTGGCATTCCCAAGCTTGCCGTGGTGTCGGGTAGGTGGTTCATGGACGGAGTGCTCGAAACCTACGCCCGCTTCCAGGAGGGGTTCAAAAAGGAAGGCTTCTATCGCTGGAAGTTTACGAGTGCAGGAAAGAAGAGAGAACACATCGTGTACCCCAAGGACCTCGAGCAGATGGCGGCGATCAAGGAGCCCAGAGACTACGTCGCCCGCGTGTCGCCAGACACACAAGTGTAAGTGACACCGCACCGCTAGCGCAACGAGCTCGAGCTAATCTTTGCTTCTTTGTTTCATTTCGGCATGTCTGCAGCATCATCCTTCACGGCACGGCAGACCAGATTGTGCCGGAGCGCGATGCACACACGTATCTGGCCGCGCTCGACTCGAATCCAGCGCGCACACCGGGCTCGCACCAGCTTCATCTCATCCAGGGCGCCGACCACATGTACAGAGGTGCCACGCAGCCCGTCGTCGAGCGCATCTGCAGCTGGTATGCACAGTCTCCTCGTCACGCAGCCGCAGAGTCAAGCTCCAAACTCTAGACGACCGAGCCACGACCGTCCGAAATGAAATGCATCATCCCCACCAGTGTCCATGTGTCGGCTTTCGACTCTGTCACCCCTTCACTCGCAGGCGAGAGGGGCATGGAGAAGGTACAAGAGCCTGTTCTTGCCGCTTTGGACGCTCGTCCATCCAGCCCCCAAATCTGTACCGTACCTTGATACAATCTCTTACCGTTCTTAGCGCGACCATGCCTCGCAACACCTCCGCCGCGTGCCTGCTGTTTGTGCGCATCTGCCAGCTGCAAATCGACGGCAAGAACGTGGGCGATTTCGTGGACCGCATCCAGACGCTTTCGCTCGAGTACCAGCAAGCCTCGGGCAGCGCTGTTGACGACGATGCGCTCATGGCCATCCTCATCAACCAGGCCATGCCCATCCCCGAGTACCACCTCGTCGTCAAAGAGCTCACCGAGTCCGGCCGTCTGACCGACTACTACACGCTCGCCTCGGCGCTCCAGAACCGCTGGAAGCAGATCCGCTGAGGTCTTTGCCGGCTGCCCGAGCGCACTCGTACCCATTTACACTGCCGACAGAAGCATCTCGATCGAGCTGATTGCAATGCATCTGTGCGCATACTTTGTTGACTGAGCATCGGAGGATCGGGTCGAGCCAATGCGAGATTGCGGACGAATGTCAGCATGTCGCGTGATCATGTAGTGCGCTGCAGGCCGTCTCTAGGTGCATTGTATGCGCACTGCCATCTAATCGCACCTGCACCAACGCCCTGCAGTCCGGAGTTGACGGGCCTCGGCTGGTTGCAACGGCGTCTTGCAAGGGTCATTGACCGTGCAACGATAGATCGCACCGATGCCGAGCTTGTGCACCTCGGACACCGGTCTTCCGAGCCGCTCATCATGCTCAATCGTTCGGCCCTCGCATCGACTGGCTGCGTGCAAAGGTTGCGAGTATCCGATTGCCGCTTGGCAAGCGTCGCATCCGCGCCACCGAATCATCCTAGAGCTGTTCGTTCGTCGCATCAAGCCAACGTTTCGAGTCAGCGAGTCAGAGATTGAGTACGCGCAGTCAAACTGTACGAGGATGGCTCGGAGAAAGGACGAGGAGAATCCTATAGCTTGGGCCGACGGAGGATGGTACAGATTTAGCAAGGTGGTAGAGGAGCGCGAACAAAGGCAGCTAAGCGAGCATGGTGCGATCGGCTATGCTCGACGTGCAGCGCCAAGAATCGCAGCGTTGGCGATTAGCCGACGTCGTAGTGCGCTACCACGCTCGCCCGCCTGCAACCCATGCGCACTCGCGTGGTGGCCCCCAGCAGTCGATGCGAATAGCCGGCTAGCTCGTTATGGAAAGGCCTCTTCCGTACAGCA